GCCCCGGCGTTCTTCAAACCAAAAGGCATGACTCGGTAGCAGAAGAGTCCCCTTGGTGTAGTAAACGAGGTGATCTCTCGGTCGGGCCCATGCATGGCAATCTAATGGTAGCCGCGGTAGGCGTCCAAGAAACTGAGCCTGTTATGTCCAGTCGTTAAGTCCACAAGCTGGTCTATTCTAGGCAGAGGGAAGCTGTCTTTTGAACATGCTCAGTTGACAGTCTTGTAGTCAACGCAAACTCGCTAGTTCCCATTCTTCTTGGGCACCACGACCATGTTTGAAATCTACCGAGGGTAGTGCACTTCCTGAATTGCTCGCGCTTCAAGTAAGTTCTTCACTTCCTCGGCAACTACCTCGGCGTGATGCAGCGCCAATCTCCTTGTGCGCTGAATGACCGGCTTTGCTCCGGGGAAGACATTGAGATGATGGCATATAAAACTCGAATCGAGACCGGGCTTGTCGTGAGGTGACCATGCAAAGACTTCGATGTTGGCCATCAAAAACTCAACCATGTCGGTCCATTCTTGGGCTATAAGGCTTGAGCCGAGCAAGAAGAACTTGTCCAGATGCTCTGTATCAATGCGCACTTCCACCAATTCCTCAACAGCTTTGTCCTCGGCCGTGGTGCTCACATCGTCAAGGACTCCCCGGTCTTCCGGTCCCTCAATCATTTGAACGAAGCCTTTGGCAGCTCGGCTCCCACTGACCACCACGAAGCATTGCTTCGACATGACTTGATCGCCCTAAATCTCCTCGATTGCCCCCATAACCGAGGGGAATCTCATCACCTGATGATAGGTCGACGCTACGGCTTGCATAGCATGAAGTCATCCCCTTCCAAAGATCAAATTATAAGTGGATGGCACCTGCAACACCCAGAACTCCACTTGTTTGACCACGGATCCCGCTTTAACCAGCAGGATAATCTTTCCCAAAGGCCACTCTGGTTGTGAGTTGAAACCAACCAGTGGCGAAATCGTCGGGGCCAAATCTGTATCCCAGAGCTTGAGCTGTTTAAAAGCGTCATAGTACATGATCTCGACCGAGCTTCCCTGATCGATCAAGATCCGTTTGACATCAAATTCTTTGACGCAGAGTGTAACCACTAGGGCATCGTTGTGTGGCATCTAAATGCGCTCCAGGTCTCTTGACGAGAAACTGATCACATCTTTCTTTTTGGTCTTCCCCCTCTTGATCGCAGGCTGAACCGACAAAACTTCCCTCATGTGTTCGGCCTTCTTGATCATACCTCGGAGCTCGCATACACGCGCCAGTTCCACTATGCCAGTGGATGACATTAACAACCCCTTGTTGAGGCACATCTCGGTCATCCGGTCCCCGCGGGTCAACCGAAGCTTGATTGGCCTTCACGCCCCCATCAATGTAAAGGGCCAGGTGTCCAGCTGCGACTAGCTCTTCCAAGTGTTGCCTCAAAGGCAAATAGTCCTCTGTCCGGTGGCCTCGCTCTCGGTGAAATGTGCAACGGTACCTCGGATTGAAGCCCTTCTGTCCGTCGCCTAACTTAGTAGGAAACCGGACATACTCCTCGTCACGGATTTCACTAAGTATGCGATAGATTGGAATCTTAAAGACCGTGGTGATGCCTGTCCTTGCTTTCAACCTTCTGTTTGCATCGGCTACGTCGTCCCGGTCATTCCGACGTCCCCTACCCCGATTTTTGTGATTAGTGCCATGGTCTGATTCCTCAGCGCGGTCGCTGGATCAATCGGACTCCTGTCCGATCGCGTGCACTTTGCCAGCTGACCTCTTGTCTGCTACTACCAGAGTTGTTTTCGCGCTAGATGCCGATGCATCATCCTCCACACGGATGTGCTCATTGATGCGTTGCATTAGCTGGCCCATGGATGCCGACTAGTGCATGGTAAGCGAGTCCCGCAGTCTATGTCCGACCGGGAGACCTTGCTTGTATTGTGTGATTGCAACGTTGACCGAGCAATCCAAAATCTCGTTGAAGGTCTCCCAATATCTGGAGTTGTATGCCTTCAATGTATCGCTCGGTTCCATTTTAACACTCAGTAGGTGGTCAACTTCCTTTGGTGTTTTCGTGTTGGTTTTGAAGCGCGTCACAAAGGCCTCGGCCAACTGATGCCACATTTCTATGCTCCCCTCCGGTAACCTCTCGAACCATTTCAAGCCCAGTTCGCCTAAACTTGACGGGAAGATGAGGCACATAAGTGCGTCATTCCGCCTATGCCCGGCCATGACCTGTCGGAAGTGACTCACATGCATGTAGGGATCGGTTTTCTCATCGTAAAGTGTGAATTTAAGCTGGTGAAAGCCTGCCGGAAGCGGTGTCATTTCTATCTCCAAGGAGAAAGGGGTGGCGCTCAGCCTTGCCAAGTTTGTATCTAGAAGGAGTGGCGCTGTTTGGCGGAGTGGAGGCATTTCGACCTCCTCGCTGGCGTGAACCCCATAGGATAGCCGCTGGAACGCCGGCACCCTCTGAGCCTCCCGCTGGCGAGCTCGTTCCTTTAATATTGGCCGCAAATCCTCTGAACGAGTAGAATAAGAATACCTCGACGTCGTCGCCGGACGTGAGGGTCGATAGGTGTTGTCTTGCGCGCTAGACTTCTCTTCGTGCAGGTCGGAATCTCCAACCTTGTAACTTTTGGTGATGGAAATGGACGCAGTGTGTCGCTAACTCTGACTGCCTGAACGGCGGGGTTGGGTGCGCTCACTGTAGTCTCTCACTCCAGCTACACCTTTCCCTTTAACATGCCGCTTTAGCTCCTCCATCTCCGCCGCCATTCGCCGGATGACGGCGTCCTGGTCCCTTAACTTGTGTTCCAGATGTCTGGCATGTGATTCTCTCCGCCGCCGATGACCGTCTAGACTCCGTGAATGACCATAACTTCTTCTGCGCTTATCCTGCACATCTCTTGAATGTCCTCCTGGAGAAGTCTCCAAGTCCGCCATCGGAGGAACGATGGTGGGATGCCCTTCTCTCCGTCTGCCTGACTCCGGGGTAATTCCGTCAACAGCAGACAATAGAATCTCGTCGTTGTTGGCCATGGACAGCGATCAGATGAGCCTAGAAGACAAGGTTTTGTCTGTCAAGTTCCCACAGACAGCGCCAATTGTACGGGGAGCAAATATTCAGACAAGCCCGTATTCCTTTCTTCCAAGTTCCATTTCTGTCCGATCACCTGCATGCACAACAGCAATGAGCTACCCGGCGGTGTGTGGCCAGAAAACCCCTCCGACGACCAAGTTAGCACACACACAAGGATAGAGAGAGAGAGAAGGGAGTTGAGTGTAAGTGTTTCTCTTACCCAATATTCATCTATCCAGCATGGGGGCGCAGACTTGCTTATATACCTTCTGCACCCCAAATCTACTCACGTTCGTCTCTCGACACGTGGTGCTGCTATCCCATCTGTCAGCACAAATCTTGCTGAACATCACCTAACCCGACTGCCAGCCCACTGTATTGGGAGCTCGGCAGCCGGGCTGTAGCATCTCGGCTGTCAACGGCCATGCCGCGTTTCATGCCCAGGTGCCCCCAACAACCGAGCTCCTTTTCAGCCATGCTTAACTGCATTCCGGCGAAGCCAAGCTTGAGATTGGTCATATCGGTCAACCAAAGTCGTTCCTGCCGAGCTTCAGGCATGAGCCTTCACGCCGAGCTATGGATGCTTGCTTTCCAACCGCACAACGCATAAACCGTGGAACCCTTACTTGACCGGCCTCCGTGCCAACAAGGTGAAGTAGCTCGATTCCACATGCCTTTGCCATTGCCGAGCAAAAATCACTTCTGGGTGGACCTGGGATACCACGGCCCAAATGTGTTCGGCCCACAATTTGCCTGGTATTACCATGGCCCAATCCAGACCATATTTTTCCCTCTCACTTATTTATAATTTCCTGGATTATGCATGATCACTTACAATCAATTAATCTCCTGACAGTTCCTAGCTTTCTGGATATGCAACAATTAAATTTCAATAAAACTCAATCCATGAAAAAGAAAATGTGGGAACTATTACCTACAGTGAGAAGCAGCCTATAAATCATTAAAATGACCCTCATGAACATTTTGTTTTCATTTACAATATTAGTTTTTTTATTCATATTCTAAATGAACATCGTCGTTTACTTTGGCTTTATATTTTTGCAAATATCAACTTCAAGTGTTAACGGCAGTACGTCAAATCAATTGACATTTTACAACAAAAATTGTCCTAAATGTCGTAAAAAAGCAACTATTCAAATTTTCGAGACGGAGTGAAACAAAAACAAATTATTTTATTGTTGTCAAGATTGCAATGGTTTTATTGGACGGTGCTTGCCTACAGATGCACAAGGTAGAGGTAAAGGAGAAGCACAAATGAAAAATATGCCAACTGTCGTCGAACAGCTTCGATTTATGGGCGAACAACTTCGCTTTCAAAGCGAGCAACTTCAATTTCAAAGCGTGATGGTGATCAAATTGGAAACAAACATAAATCGAAGTTCGTGTCGTATGTATGGGTTGTTCATATTGCTTGTAATTGGTCTTGTATTAGTTATAAAAATGTAATCGAAGTTTGTGTCATATGAAAATGTATTTCTCTTTGTTTATGCATGTAATGTATATATTGTAAGAATGTTGGTATCAATAATGTATTGTAGTTAATATTTGTAATGTATATATTGCAGTTAACATTTGTAATGTATTGCATGTAATGTATATATTGCAGTTAACATTTGTACCTATTAGTTGTTCCCCTATTTATTTGAATTTAAAAATTGTTAGCATTTATCCTCCATAGCATGAAACAGATTGTCATCTTCCCAGATGCAGTCAACCAAAATGAAAATGAAAATGACAGTGAACAATGCTCATTGAAGAAGCTGAAACAGAACATGAAACAAAATGAACATTGCTCATTCAAAAAGCTGAAACAGAACATGAAACAGAACATTGCTCATTCAAAAAGCTGAAATGAAAATCCTATTCTCATTGCTCATTCAAACATCTGGTAGTGAACAATCTCACTTGTAGGTCTACATAGCATGAAACAGAACATTGAAAAAAATTGACAGAACAATCTCACAGATTCTCACAATCCATCAAATCTCCACCTACAGAACCTGACTCTGATCTCAAGTAAACTGTAAATCCTTTCCAAACATTGTTCCCATTGCAAAAAATAACATAAAAATTGACCCAAATCCAAACAACATAAAGAAATACACCCAAATTTGAAAGTATAATAACACTAGTGAGGCTTGCGACAGGGATGTCCATCTACATGATTGTCAGCAGGACTATGTGAGGCTTGCGACATTTAGACTGCAAAGTGTTGAACACTAGTACCTCAAAGCAACTCCTGAAACGATGTCTGAGTGGGATAGACTAAAGGCATTGACTGAGGTGTGTTACTTCCCTGCAATAGTGCTAAATTTAGTAAAATATTGATACAATGTATACAACTATTTGAATGTAAAGTATGTAAGCAATTATAACTTACATCATATGTAGGATACATGACATGATGAACACTTGTACGACACATGGCAAAGGGAGGTTGAAATTGAGATACAGGTCAAGATTGAGAAATATAGACACAATGACCATAACCCTAAAGTAAACCAACATAAAGCAAATAATATATGAAATGAAAAAAATTAATAATGCATTTTCATTTTTAAAAAAAAACACACACAATATGAATTATTACCTCAATATAATTACTACCCATGACGAAAGGAGGTTGAGATTGACATTGGGAGTATAAACAGCAACACCCTATACAACCAATGCAAGAAAAAAAAAATTCACATGACTACATTGCAAGAACAACCAATGAAGATATGTAGGAATCTTAGTTATCTAACAACATTAAAGTAAAACAATAGTTTCGTATGAGGTTCAATTTCCCTAAGGTCTATGCATGTCAAAAGTTGCATACAATATTAAATATTACCTTCATGGAATGATTACCAATGGCGGAAGAAGGTTCAGATTGACCTTGGGAAGCACAAAAAGAACCATCCTACATGCATAACAAAAGACAAAAATAATAAATATCACCTTACTAGATGACAAATGATAACCAATCCAACAATATTAATGCAAGGTTCCACACAATAGTAAATATTACCTTAATAGAATTATTACCCATGGCAACAGGAGGCTCAAATTGACCTTTGGGAGTACAAAAACCATCACCCTACAAACAACCAATTTCTTTAATTCATTACTTTTCCAACACACATAACACAAAATTGGTAACACATATCACATAACACATAACAAAATATCATTTAATCATTTGCAACAATTTTGTGTAATTACCTGCTTAGATTGCATTCTTTTCTTCTTTGCAATAGATTTTTCCATCCCGCCCTTGATCTTCCTTCTTCTCTTACTAGTTGCTTGTCTTTTCTTGAGTCCTTTAGCTTTGATTCAACAATCTACTTCATCACTTTGTCTTTTCTTTAGTCCCTTAGCTTGCTTGTCTTTTCTTTAGTTATCTGCTCTTCACAATCTAATTGGACTGCATAATAAAATGATGGATTTTCCACAATTTTTTTTATGAAAGTACTGCAACACACTACCCGCTTCTCCATATTCCAAATATTTTTGTCTCTTCGATCTCAAGTAATTTTTTTGGTCCAATTTCGTGAAGCCTAGTGCTGCTCTTCCACCAGATTCCCTACCAAATAGCTCATAAGCACGCCTAAGAGGAATTCTAGATTCTGAAGCCAATTCTACTTCAATTGCTTGGGTGGTAGATATTTTTATTTGGGATGGAAACATATGAATGCACTCTTAAGGCACAAGATCATGATTATGATGTTCAACAAAATCAATTGCTACATATTTTCCTAAATTTCTATCTAACTTGATACTCAATCGGGCACTACAACCACATCTCACCTATTGTCTCGGAAATTTTACTTGTGGATCTCGCTTGTCAATACCCCGAGTTCCCTCTTTGTAAAATACAAAAGTTCGTGAAATTATTTCCTTAGTTTGTTTGTTCTTGTGTGCATACGCCTTCCTAATACTAAAGCCCACATTTCCGCTATAATTATTGTAAAAGTCATATACAGCTTGTTCAGAGTCAAATGATATGCCCAATTTCGGCTTCCAACCACAACTAGACAACTCATCAACAACATTATTTTCTTCCATTACCTGCAATTCAATTTATATTACTTGGATTTTTTTAGACAGGTATGACAGTGTTTAATTTTCTACCTCTGTGTTTCTAATTTAATAAAGTACCTCTGTGTTTCTAGTTTAATTACATCAACAATCTATCAACATATACCAACTTTCTAATGATGCATGGACATGGGTTTGAAAAAATTGCCAAGTAATTTTGTTGGTATAGCATTACTAAATGTTTTATATAGGGAGATAAACAGAACTTTGGCTTCAGAAGCAGATCACCTAATATTAAAAAAATAATAAATTAATATATTTAGTAGTTCAGTTTAAAAGCTTGAGTTTGAAGCATCATTTATAAATGCTCTGTTTCTTAATTTTTTAAATCTGTTTGAAGCATCATTTTTTAAGAATGCTCAGTTGCCCAGGTTCCTTTGCAAGAGGTCTGAGGTTTGATTTCCCGCAATTTGTTCAATTCATAAGCTTAAGGGGTAGCTTCTTAATTGGCAGTTTACACAACTAAGTGGGTGCACAGAGCCTACCTAGGCTAAATTCTCGGTTTCAAAAAAAAAAATTAAAACAAAAATCCCTGGTTTAAAAGTGAAAGAAAATTTCGAAGAACTATATAAAATAATTATATAGACGTATATATGTATACAGTGGCTGAGAAATGAAACAGAAATGAAATGGACCTTGTCATGGCTGCAATGTCGACTTGCCGTCATCGCGTCGCCGTCGGACTCGCGTCCCTCCACCACCCTCTGTTCATCACCATTGCCTCTCTCCACCATCTCTCAGTTCGTTTCTCTCTCCGTCTTCGCAGATCCTACCGATCGTCTCTCCGTTCGCCGATCGTCTTGCGGTCTTCGCCAATCGTCTCTCTCTCTGACTGTGCCTCTCTTGTCTCTGTTTGTCCAGCTCTGTATGTCGTACTGGTTAGGGCTAAACACAGAGACGAAGATGAAAGTGAAATAAACAAGCGGGAAACTTCAATTTTGGAAAAAAAAAAAAAAACAACAATTTATAAATAAAAAAAAAAAAACACAACAACAACTAAACAAAACGACGTCGTTTTGGAGAGTGAGGCAGGGAGGGCCGCAGGAAAGTGCAGTCGAGGATCCTTACTCCCTTTGGCAACCCTCCATCCTAACCACTCCTTCGATAACTCTTCAAACACATTATTTATTTATATTTTTTGCAAATATTTATGTATACCAATTTAACAAATAAAAAAAGTAGACGTTAAAAAAATTATTTTCTATAAATAATACATGGTGAGTTGTGGCTTGGATCCTGTTTGGTGGAACTTGTTGGAATTGTTTAAAAAATCTTTTGATTTTATTTTAAAAATTTGTGTCAAACTATTTGGTACAACTTATAACTTATGAAGTAAAAATAACTTAAATAAGTTGAAAAAAATTAATTATCTAGAATGTAACAGAGTGGTATTTTTTATTTCTAATTTTTTTTATTATCAAGTTTCAACTTGAGAAAAATTGTACCAAACAAATCTTTACAACATCAGGCGATTTTTTATTTTATTTTACATTTTCAAGTCATTGTGAATGTGGTACTGAACAATCTTCTACAACAATCACAGCATTATTAGAAATTTATTGATCTCAATAATTCCACAAGTTCGCTTATGGTGTGGACCATTCTTGAATTAATTGTGATGTGTACTCCAACTTCATATTTGTTCTCTGTCACATTTGGTTTTCTAATTATTGTCCTTTCTTTCAGCCCTTTTATTTATTCTAGTTTTATTGTTCTCCTTTATATTTCAATTAAACTCTGGCCACCAAAATAAGAAACTATTTTAGTAAATGAGAGGGTAATTTTTGGTGAAAATTGGGCTGAGCTGTAAGATGGACTTTGTGGCCCAACGAAGGACTGGGTAAAAAGGCCGTAATGTTACTCCGGCCCAAAAGAGATAAAGTTACTCCGGCCCAAGAGATAAAGTTACTTCGGTCCAAGATGATGTAAAGTTACTCCGGTCCGGAGGCAACTTGGAGTTAGGCCGGTCTCAGAGTTAGTCCGGTCACGACGTAGTCTGGTTGGAACGGTCAAAACCTTGCTACTCGGTAGTTCGGTCTAAAACACACCATGATTTCTACATAAGAGAACCGAGATAAGGATGGGGTAAATGTGGAACCGAACTGAGGATAGTTCGGCCTACTCTGTGGCTCAGCATAGCCAGTTTTATTTCGGTCATGTGGTAGTTCGGCCATAGTAAAAACCACCTCACTTGGGTTAAGCAGTGGGGGGGGTGTTGAAGGATAAGCATTATCTTTCAGGAGAATGAATCCTAGAAGGACTCTGCATGGAGGAATAAAAGTCCTACTAGGATTGTGCCACACGAAACTTATAAAAAGCTCACAAACATCACCTTGGAGGAGGTAACACACAATTTTTCTTTCTACACAGAGCTTTGTCTATTTGTCAAGTTTGCTGACTTTGGCATCGGAGGGGTTTCCGGCACACACCCGCCGGCTAGCTCACGTTTGTGTTTTCAGGTAATAAAGCGACGTCGTACGGAGGAGCACAGACTTAGTCAACAGGATTATACGAGAAGGTGTATTTCTTTCCCGTACAATTGGCGCCGTCTGTGGGAAAAACAGACAGAACAAAACCTCTTGACTAAGCTTCTCCCTTTCTCAATTAATGGCACACATTGAGGAATTGCCGCAGTCCGCAGTCGACGGGCTAACTCCGGAAGGGGGCGCAAGGCGTGAAGGATTACCCTCTGTCCCTCCCATGGCGGACTTGGAACCCCAATGACATAACTCCAGAAGGGATGCTAGGGGACGGCGGACTAACAGCCCCCGTCACTCTCGTTCGCAAAGTCCTGACAGACAAAGGAGGAGGATTGATCCTCAAGCCTTGGAAGACCGCGTGAAGGAGCAAGATGAATTGATAAGAAAGATGGCGGCGGACATGGAGGCCTTGAAACGCCAGATGAAGAAAAAAGAAGTGGCGACAGGAGAGGGGCGCAAAAACAAAACGCCCCCTCGCCACTCAGAAAATCGTGGTAGGAATACCACACCCTCACAAGGAGAGAGCAGAAGCCTCAGGAAAAGCGACACTCAGTCCTGGTCTTCCAGAACTCGTCACTCCAGGTCTGAGGGGACGAGATCTGAAAGATCGTACACTGAAGGAAGCACGTATTGGCCCTCGCATTCACACCAAACCAGATCTAGACAGACAGAGCTGCCCAGGTCATCCGACTTACAAACCGTGCTCGAAGAAAAAGCACGATGCAAGGAGGATGCCAGGGCGCGAGATCCACACAGAATTTCTGCCTTACAGCGGTTGGCTCCTCGGAAGCATGGAAGTGTCGAGGTTGGAATGCCAGTACCGCGCCCTGCCTTTGAACTAACAGACAAAGCATTGGCAAGGCTACAGACTTCGCCGTTTGTTCCGGCGATTGAAAATGCGCCCCTACCATCAGGCTTCCTTCAGCCCAAATATATGAAGGGAAGACGGACCCGTATTCACACTTGAGCCACTTTCGCCAAGTCATGGCTGTGTACAGGTGAAACGAGGCCTTGATATGTATACTCTTCCCATCAAGCCTTGGCGACCTAGGCTTGACTTGGTTCGAAAAACTTCCAGAGGGCAGCATAGCCTCTTGGGCTCAATTGGCAGAAGCGTTCGTAACAAGGTTCCGAACAAACACTAAAACACCTGTGGAGATCGACCAACTACTCTCCATCGACATGGGGGATAAAGAGACCGTTAGATCCTACAATAGTCGTTACTGGGAGACATTCAATCAGATTGGGGACTGCCCCACCAATCTCGCTATTGCACAGTACAAAAGAGGCCTTCCTGTCGGGAACAGACTAAGGGACTCGATCACCATGACGCCACCCCTCACCATGGAGGCCCTGATGGAAAGAGTACATCAGCACATCAGGGTAGAAGAGGATGGCGCACGTGCCAAAGCAAAATATAATACGACCGCAGTACCAGAAAAAAAAAAACCTCAGCAAAGGTCAATACAGTAGATCGTCAGAATAGAAACGGACGTGGCAAACGAGATAACGGAGAAGACC